GATGCCCTTTGTTACTAGTAGCTTCTTGTTTCTAATAGCTTCTTGTTTCTACTAGTAAGGCACTTGTTACTAGTAGCGATGCCCTTTGTTACTAGTAGCATCAAAAAACCTCAGCTCTCAGCGGCTGGGAGTCGTTCAACGAGTCCAGCAGCGCCGCGACCTCCACGACCTCCGGCGCCGGAGCGAGCGACCTGGGCGGCGAAGGTAGCCGGACCCGCTGCAGAAGCGGCGAAGCAGCCGGGACCGGTGCATGGGGTGAAGACTGGTGAAAAACCGGTGAAAAAGTAGGGTCAAAGACTCCAAAGACCTGAGATCACCGGAGTTTGAGCTGATCTTTGGTTGATCACGTCAAGTCTTGACAGAGTCACGTGAGCACTGAGTGCCTTGACTGGATGCGTTGTCTTCGTCTTCTTCGTGTTGTGCTTAGTCAACTTAGTCAACTTCGACTGCTTTTCGATCGATCGAACCTACTTCCTCGCCATCCGTTTGTGTCTGACGAGTTTGGATGAAAGGCAGAAAGGTCATGCCGCGCAGCTCTGGGCGCGCAGGCTCTGCGTGCCACTTATACGAGTGACCGCGTGAATCCATTAGCTTTGGTTGATCTGAATCCAAACCATCATTGCAAATCTGTATTCGAACCTGTGGTAGTTTAGAGTTCGTTTTCAACACTGAAAACACTAAAGATGATCCCCGGATCCGCATGTCCATCGCCTGCAGCTGCGCTGCCGGATCCACCGTTGTTTCTCCTTGGATAACAGCCTCCTCGCTGTCGCCACTCTCGCGACTCTCCGGCGCTTTCGCCGGCGGCGCTTTCGCTGTCTTCGGCGCTTTCGCCAGGACCCCGGACCTTTCGTCGCTGGGACCGGCCAAGACCAAACGTTGCACTAACGGACCTCGCTAGAGCGAGCGAGCGAGGAGGTTCGTGCGTGCAGGTCGGTGAACGAAGGATTCGAAAGGGTTCGAAAGGATGGTTTTCTGTTGAGGCCGGGACCCAAACTGCAGTGGTACATATAGGCTGAAAAAGGACGCTTCAATCTTTGTTGGAATGAAGCGTCCTTCGGTGGTGTTGCAGGGATGAAAGTGGGCGACGTAGACTAGACAGGCTTTTGGGGTAAACCAGTGTGCAGATTTTTGCAGAAGCGCCGTTCATGATGGAAGCGTTGTGTAAAGGATGTTCGACCGAATCAGCAGTTGTGTCATAGATAGCTAATTTGAACGCCAGCTACTGGGAAAAGTCTGCCGTCATGGCTGAAACAAATGCTTCAACTCCCTGCACACAACCAGGAAGACGAACAGACCCTCTTGGTCCAAGCGACGACAAACACTGCCGGGCCCCCCAAACGCATCCCCCCTTTTCACATCCCAACCCGTCGCCATGTTGGTTGATCGAGTCGCAGTGCGGCAGCTCCTCCAAAGCCAAGGCCATACAGCTCTCCGCAAGTGCCTGAGGAGAAGAAAGCGGAGGCGTGACCTGGTCGCATCCGCTGGGAAACAAAAGGAAAGGTGAATAAAACAAAAGGTACCATGGATATCCATGGATCATAGAACTGCCTTCTGGTAGTGTCCTTTTTTAAGGAGTGGAATCTGCTCTGGGAATCTGCTCCGGGCCCAACAAATGTCCACCGTCTCGAAGTACTTGAACTCACGAAGTTCCAAGCAGCCAAAGAAAAAGAACTCGAAGGCCGCGATGCGTCCTTTCTCACGATGCCAGCGGGTGGCGAAGGTCGTCGCCGAACGTGACTCAAGGGCCCTTCGGCCGGATTTGAGAATTGAAATTCGATTGCGGTGTGACTCGAATGTCATCTATCCGCTCTCATCATGAAATGCATTGCAAAATGGAAAACAAATCTCACATGTGCATTCGCAACATTGACACGCCCAAGGAAGTTTTCAAGGGCTGTCGAAGAAAATTCAAAAAGCGGGCTAGAGTCCTCTTCAACGAAGGACATCTAAATCACTCACATGGTACCAGGCACCATGTTCTCTCTCAGCCAGGCGTCTTGGTCGAGTTCTAGCAACAAAAGTCACAGGAGTCTGGCAGATTCGGTCAGCCAGTTCACCATTGTAGATTTGCTCACGAACACGGTCATTGCGTTCCAAGGCAATGATCTGATTTCTCTGACGAACGATGCGACGATTCACGTCAGCCAAAAACACCAGGTTGTCATTCCACATTCGGTGCCACTGACATACTTGCTCATCAGAAAATTGCGAGGTGTCCTGAGCTCGAAGCAATTCACTGAACTTCCTCCAGCGCTGTGTGGTGAAGCTCTCAGATTGCAACACGCACCTTGTCTGGGAGTCCAGACTGCTATCATGGTTTTCAAGTTCCCATAGAAGGCGACGATATGGGCCTTGTCCAGCCTCGTTTTGAACTCTCACCTTCATGCGACTCCAGCGATGCCATTCTTCATCTGGAAGATCCGACTCTGTGTTCGTAGTCGTGCTTCCTGAATCTATTCCAGGACGACGGGCCAAAGTCAGTGCATTTAGAATCACCTCATCGGCCTGAACAGCTGCGGAAACGACATGGCTAGGAGGATTTAGCGGGTTCTCATTCACTGGGGCATTCGCAGAAGCTTGGTCATTCTCAACAACCTGCTCATTTTCATTCATCTCCTCTCTGAACAGGTTCGTCACCTTGTCATTTGCAAAGCGGTAGGCCTTGTAAAAGATGGTTTCAATGCCAAAACGCAGAAACACGTTTTCAAGGCCAATCCATGCGAAGATCATGATGACCATGAAGGACATGAAGATTGGTAATCTCCCTCCTTCAGCTTCAACAGATGTCAAAGCTCCTTCAGCAAGAGGCGCTTCGCTTGCCATCAAAATGGCTGCGGAAAACAAGGCTGCCTTCTTCCATTCGTCTTGATGACTATTTGAGCTGCGATGGGCATAAAAATGCCTTCTGCTGCAGTATTTGTTTCGAGGATCACTCTCGTTGCGGGGTTTGCAGCAACTTGGAAGTAAACAAAGACCTTGTTCATGCTTTTGCCACTCTTCTACTGCAAAAACTTGTTGTTCTTCCATTTCTTTTGAAAAAGCTTCATGGATTTCCCTTTCTTCTTTCTTGGCTTCTGAGGACACTTTCTTGGAGGCTGTAAAGTCGGGGTTGAACTTGAGTTGATGGGTGCCACGCTTCATGATGTAGGCCATGGAATCTCTGGAAGCCGGCTTTGTCAAGCCGTCAGAGATCTGTTGGTGTGAGTTCACCCACATCCATTTTCCCAACAAAGCGTTCATACGATCTCGCACAATGGCCACTTCGATCGCAGTTCTTTTCTCACTCAATTTCATGCTGGGAGACAAGGACTTGGCAGCATCAAACAAAGATTTTGCATCTGTCACAAGCGGGGATGGTCCAAGCTTTTGCAATGCTTCCGGACTTTCGATCGGCAAGGTGGGGTCGATCATGACGGAAACAAAAATCTTGCACCATTCAAGCTCATCCACTGCAATGGCGGCTGCTTGAGCCTCTGAGGACAAACTTGACCTACAAATGCGTGCCAACTTGTGCGATTTCCAATAAAAAACATTGAGCGGCATCATGCTGCCAGATTCCAGCTCTTGGTGCGAACAAATGAAAACCAAAAGTCCACCTTGGCTTGATCCGTCGGGTCGTACGGCCCAGGCAGCATCGGTATATGCTCCAATGCACAACTCCGAAAAAGCACATGAACCACGCATGTACAGTTGGTGATCTTTTGAAACTTCTTTTGCAAAACGAAGCAGCTTGTTTGCTTGGTTCAAATCACCAACACATGGATTGCTTGCTGATGCTTGCAGAATGCTCACGCTTGCACACAACTCAGGAATGCTTTGATGAGCAGGCCATGCCAGCGCACCAATGAGGGCACGGAACTGTCGGTGTTCACGTTCATCGCATGGAGACTCCGTCATTGTTTTCCTGGATTTGTCCAATGAAATAGGTTTCACCTTCTGTACATAGTTCGCCAGACTCACCGAAATGGTGGAGTAGTCTAACGACTGTTGCAGTTCAGCACCACAAAAGATGATCTTTGAGCCATTTCCAAAATCCCATGCACCAAAACGAAAACGCTGAGCCAAACGCAGGATGCGGTAGAGGAAACACTCTTCATTGGGACATTCCTTTTTCAAATCATGCTCACTGCAGAAACCTTCACCAGCACCAATGAAGTCGTCCACATGGAGTCCAAAAATGCCGTCAACAATGCTAGGGACCCCATTCCATTGGAACACTTCGAAAGCTGGATCAGATTCATATGCAGCTCGAATGCTGAGGTACACACAACGATCCAAAGGGTGTGGGATCATGCCAAGTTCCTCAGTCAAGCACCTATGAGCAGTTGCATTCCACTGTCTTGGAGCTCTGCAATCACCAAAAGCGGGCTTGGATGCACGCATGATTTGCCATGGTTTCAATCCAATCTTTCTCTCCAGGAGGCGTCGAATCTCAGCTGAGGGCTGTATGAACACTCGGGCTTCTTGTTCGATGTTGTCTGCTTGTTGAAAAGCAGTCTTCACATCAGCACTCCACAGCTTGAGCTGACGAACCACTGCAAAAAGATAAATGGAGCTGCGACCAACCATGGACAAAGTAGGAGCTTCCTTATCTACAGTGTCTTCGAGCACATCACGATGTTTGAATCCCTGTATGATGATTCGGGCGTTTGCTTTCTGCCCTTCTTTTGTTGGCTTCCAGCGCTGCAAAAATCTTGCTGGTACTGCTTCGCCTGGTTGGGCTTCGGAGGCATCGACTGGTCGCCATGCTTGATTCTCAAACCAGACATCCAAAGCCTTGTCGCGAGCTTCGGCGAACTCTTCTTTCTGCTCTTTGGTGAGGTTCTTCTCACTGAATGAAGTGGCCATGAAATTTTCGTCCAGCCGATCAACTTCCTCACCATACAGCATGTCATATTGACTTTTCAGATGCTGATCATCTCGAGAAACAGGCGGGAGGCCATCAAGTTGACGTGCCTTGTTGTAGGACTCATACAGGTTTTCAAAGTCTTTGTGCCGAGAGTCATGAGGTGGAGGGCTTCTTGATCTTCCTCGGCCACTTGGATCTTGGTCTTCTTTTGTTTCTACTTCAACTGCTTCAGCTTCTGCTGCTGCTGTCTTGTGTTCTGCTGCTGCCGCAGTGTGCTGAGGTTCTGTTGTCACTTCTTCTTCGGCTTGAGGTTCTGACATTGGAACTTCTGGACTCTCTGGTGGTACCAGAGGAGGGACAGAAGTTTCAGCCTTTGTCTCTGGTGGTACCAGAGAAAGGACAGAAGTTTCAGCCTTTGCATTCGAAAAGGTGGGATCCCCTGCAAGATCAAGAAAACGCACAGGACCCTGCACAGGGGTCAGAGCTTGTCGAACTCGATGAACCAAACTGTTCGAAACAGCTGTGTCAGGTTGCGTTTCCAGGCGATGAACTCTTTCTCGAGCCACCTCGGCACGAATATGCTCACTTGCAACACGCACCAAACTGGAGCCATGAGCAACCCAGTAAACAGAAGCTCGGATGCGGCCGTCATCGTTCTTGCGGGGCTCTATGGCGCAGACCAATGCCGGGCCACGCCAGCGAGCGGGGTCAAGTTTGTTTTCCCCCTGTCTCCAGTAGTAGATCCAATCGCCAAGGCTGGCGGCCACATGTTCAGACCGTGGCCTGGCAAGAAGTGCACGTTTGAGCAGCTGGTTGTTGTTGGCTTCATAAAATGCTTTTGCTGCTGAATACCGAAGTGCTTGATCTTTTTGGTGCTGTTCCGTGTCATCGAGCGGTTTGGACAAGTGCGGTTCATCACAAAGACCGTTCGATTGAGGATTGTGTCCAAAAACGATTTGGTATGGTGAGCTACCATGCACTGAACGAAGGCGGTTTCGTTGATGACAAGCAACTGGAACAGCGTCTTCAAGGAGTACATTCGGTTCATCTTGTTGCATCTTGAGCAGCTGCATTCTTCTCACAGCGTGGAGTCTTTCCACTGATCCCATTCTATAGTGAGCTTCTTTGGGCACGAGGATCAGCTTGATGTTGTTTTGGTCGAAGAAGTCCAGATACTTCTGACTCATGTGTGCTCCAGACTGGTCTGTTCGGAATCGTTCTGGAGGACCAAAAGTTTGCAGCCATTGTTCACGAAGTATCTTCAGTTCAGCTTCTTCCGTTTCTCTCTCCAATACTGCATTGATTTCGTACTTGGAATAGATGTCGAGGATGGCCAAAACCTTTCGCTTTTCTCCATTCCAGCGGATGTGAAAAACATCGGCTTCCAAACATTCATTGAAGTGACTGGCCTGAGGCAGTGAAGCTGGTTTCTCCAATTTCCGTTGTGCCTGTTGCTCACATACTTCACACTTGTAGTCTTTGGCACATCGGATCAGAGACTCATCCATACCTGCATCTTTAAGCGTTTTGATCATCCGATCTACACCTGGATGTCCAAGTTGCTTGTGCAGTTTGCTGATGACCTGTAGGTTTTGCTTGCTGTGGGTCTTCATCAGCTTCTTCTCTTCCTCAGTGATGTTGGATGCATTCTTCACTTTGTTTTTCTCATCCTGCTCTTCAACCATATAGATCTTGGCTATCTCTCTTTGTCGCCATCGTTCTTCCATCTCCTGATAGATGGCATTTGCTGCTCTTTTCACGAAGCCTCTTTCGTAGTTTTGCATTTTCTTCAAGCTTTCTGCTTTTCCATCCATAGCAACATGCTCTCCAGGAAGACATTCACATGGAAGGTCAAGTGCTTCAAAGACCATTTGGCTGTTTGTGCGAATCCTCGTAGGTTTCTTGACCTTTCCGACATAGTTTCCCATGCGATCATAGTAGCACAAGCCGGTCCTGCATCGGTTGCAGATTGCATCATAACCATCCATGGACTCCAAGGTTTTCGTCTTCCATGACATAGCCAAATGAGGATGCTCCATGGCCATGCCGGCATTGATCTCCCAGTTGCAGATGTCGGTGACATCCAAAACCAGTTTCAAATGTTGCTTTTCTTCTTGCTTCTGCAATTCCAGGATGTAGGCTAGCTTTTCGGCCTTGATCATGTTGAGCCTTTGCATTGGTGACCATTTCGTACACGGTGGTGCACACCAGATAAAGTGAGGCTTTTGTTCTCTCACCAACTTGAGGAATGCTTTTCGGTCATTTTCTTTTTCAAAGTCCCAATGAGGTAGGCTGAAAGTGGCGACCTCACAGTCTGGAAAGCGTTTCAACAGTTCTGTAGCCAGGTTGCCTTCATCCACATAGACCTCAAAGAAGATCAATTTTCTTTCTTGTTGAAGGCGCTGCAAAACTTGTTGAGAAATCTCTTCAACTTCATTTGCTTCGGACTCCATGAGGATCTGCTCTGCAATGTCAGACGGTTCTGACTCACAGGGCGGTTCAATTTCCAGTGGACTTGTCGAGATCAAGACCTCTTCTTCCGTGATGTAGTTCATCTCTTGTTCGTCTTCATGATATTCCAACAAGTTCAAGACATAGTGACCTTTTTGTCCACGACTTGGTTGAAACCATTCGGATTGAGCCACCTTCATGTTGCCACTGGCGTAGTCTTGTTTCACCCCCCATTGTTCCAGCACAGGTCTCGCCAACAGGAAGGGAGTGTGCCCAGGTACCACTGAAACCGTGATGGGCAACTTTTGACCTTTCACCAAGGCGTTGAAGGAGATTTCGTAGTTGGATTCAAGCATCTCTCCGCCGCCGAACTTGAAGGATCGCTTTTGTGCCTGAGTACGGAGAGGTCCAAGTAGGCCTTCATCATAGTGCTCGACCCATTCTTTCCACACTTCTTCTCCGACCAATGTTCTTGTTGCACCTGAATCCACAATTGCGTGACCTGGAGCAAGGGTGGCAAAGAAAATGTCCTCTTGAAAGCACTCTTCCGTTAGTTCTTCCACCATGGTCACCTCTTCACCGCCAACTTCTTTGACACCTTGTGCTTGCACTCGATATCGTTTGAACCTCGGTCCATGAGAAGAATTGGAACCGGTCAGGGTTGATCTCAACTCGGAGGAAGTCGTGGTCGACGAAGATGGTGGCTTTCGAAGACCATGCATTGGGCGTCGAGGAAACATGCTTTTTCCTTTGCCTTTTCCTTTTCCTTTTCCTTTGCTCTTTCCTTTGCCCTTTGAGCTTCCCTTTCTTTCGCTTTTGCCTCCTTTGCCATGGTCGAAGTCAGGACCAATGGCTACGACGGGGTAGAAGCCACGAGCCAAGGCAAGTTCCTTCATTCTTTTTCTTGATTCCAAGTAGGAAATGTAGGCTTCATCCATGTTTTCGTATGCCTCTTCAAGCTCCTCAGGGATTTCTTCTTCATCTTCATCACCTTCATAGTAGATTTCATGCCAATCATCTTCTTCTTCTCCTTCGTAGTAGAGCTCCTCATCAAAGTCTTCCTCATAGAAGAACTCGTCTTTGGATGACTTGGCCACAGGTCCAATGTCCTTGGTGTTTGGTTTGTGATCTCCACCAAACATTCGAAGCAAAGCTCGTTGGACCTCTTCATAGTCAAGCTCGCCTTTGCACAATGCTTTCACTTGCACGTGTGTCCATTTTGGAGTTCCACTTCGGGTCAACAAATGCCATCCAGCAAGAAGTGGTGGAATGTCGATCTTTACCTCTCGAAGTTTCTTCAAAGCAGTGCGGTGGCGAATGAGGTATGCCTGCATTTCTTCTCCCTTCTGACGATTGAAGCTTTGAAAGAACTCTTCACACCGATATGGAACCTCAATTTGTTCTTCATATTGAAATAGCTGGTCCATCATGGTGAACAAAGGTGCGAACGGATTTGTTCCACTTGTGATTTCTTTCAAATCTATTTGTTCTGCTGCATCCCAAACAGTGTCCTTGAGGAGGCTGATGACCAAAAGAGCACCTTCAATCTCAGCATCCGTTGAGCGTCGACGACACTGCAGGGCATACAATTCCAATCGTCTTCTGTAGCTGCGATAGCCACTTTGCGTTAGCCCCTCGGCCGATGGTGCGGCCTTTGCCAAGCCACTATCCAATCCACGATAGTTGTTGGAGCCAGAGGAGGGAGTTCCTGGACTAGCTCCATTCGCTGCACGTGGAGGAGAAGGAGGTATGGGGACATCAACTGGTTGTTCACCTTCTTGTCTATCTCGCTGTCTTCTTTGCTGACCACTCATTTGTGACTGCCTTGCTGAACGTGATCTTTAAGATGAGCCAATTCTCACCGGCCAGGATTACCCTATAGGCGTCCTCAAACAAAAAGTTCACCCTGGTCAAATTCCGGGAGGATCGTCTTGGGCTCCGCTACCAATCTCGAAGTACTTGAACTCACGAAGTTCCAAGCAACCAAAGAAAAAGAACTCGAAGGCCGCGATGCGTCCTTTCTCACGATGCCAGCGGGTGGCGAAGGTCGTCGCCGAACGTGACTCAAGGGCCCTTCGGCCGGATTTGAGAATTGAAATTCGATTGCGGTGTGACTCGAATGTCATCTATCCGCTCTCATCATGAAATGCATTGCAAAATGGAAAACAAATCTCACATGTGCATTCGCAACATTGACACACCGAACACTCCAAGGTGGGGAAGTGGGCTTCACACAGCTGTTGTGAGCTGAGACTTTCCAGCTCTGCGGTACTCGAAAGTCCTCACATGGCCTCACACCTTCTGGAGCTCGGTAGGTATGTACTACTTTCAGGAGCTTGCTGCGAAAGAGCAAAAAGCCATCATCCCATCTACGATTCAATACCATCCCTTCTTAGTGCTGGCACCATGCAAGTGTTTCCAACCGAGATGAACCAACATCCAAAAAGGAACCTTCCCTCAGAGCAGAGCTTAAAAGCGTCCACCGAGTTAAGTCATAATTCAGCTCCCCAAGTCAGAGGCTTGGCCCAAAACTGCAGAACTACCACAGCAGCCATGGCAGGCCACGCCTTGGGAATGAGCTCCAAGAGATAAAACCCATTCACCGGAGGGGCGTAGCCGGAGGCCAAGCCATTCTCGCCACTCCTGGCGATCGAAGCCCCTCTCGAAACCACCATCGAACGCACCGAGAATCGAGCGTTCTGTGAACACTGCTGGTCTCAGGTTCGTTTTGCGGAAGGCAACATGGCAGTCATCATTCGCTGGCACACCAATACCGTTTCGTTGAAAGCTATGTACATGTCATTTTGTTCCAAAGATTGCATGAATTCTCAGATGCGTTGCAAAACCTGCCAAAACCTGCAAGTCCTGAGCGATGCGACCGCATTCTTTCACGGTGCGTGATCGATGTTTCAACGATGCGGCCACTGTTACCGACCTGAAGCGCCATTCGAGACCATACCCGGCCGCCGTAGCTCGCAACCGGTTGACATGGTTTGGTCACCAACCAGTTGGCCCGTAGAAACCATGTAAAGGAGCTCGGTGGTTCGGTGAAAAGGGAGGCTTTTGCATCAGATCCTGACAGATCCAGCTTAAGACTTTGAAATTCTCTAGGGCCAGGAATCCTCTAGGGCCGGCTGATGGACCAAAAAGAAGAAGCTGAGACCGGTTCCCGAGTTCCGAGCGTCCGTTTCAGGGGGTCGTCGTCGTCGTCGTCTCGAGCCTGCGCGGCGCGGTCGCGATGACCCGAAAGGTGATGCGAAGGCTGGAGCCGCTGTCCTCAGCGGCGTCCGGTGGACAGGTCATCTCAGTGTGGCGGAGAAGCGGCGGAAGCTCCGCGAGAAAACACGTGCGGCGGGGCACTGCGGGGCGGAGCTAAGGACACATGGGGCATGCTATAGGGCACGCGACATGCCAGGCGCTTACAGTGCCGCAAATTTAGGTCTTCTCTTCTACTAGCAAGGGGTTGGCGAACTCCCCCTGTTTGGTGAAGATGGATACCCCCCAAGTACCCCCAACTCGGCTCCCTGCCTCGCACGAATCAGAATACCCTGCGTGGAGAATGGGCTTTTCGTGCGTCCTGGTCGCACCACCATGAAGCCGTTCTGCCAGCGACAACCGATGCGGCATTGGAAAAAGAAGCAAATGGAACAATGGGTCTGCCTCAAAACAGTGCCAAGTTTAAAAAAAAACACCTTGAACATGGGCATAAACACATACACCATAAAACATAGCAGGCGCATGCAGGCTCAGTCACACCGCACACCGCACCAATGATCCACCCCAAGTCTTTTTCGCAGCACCGTAGTACGGACCCAGGGGCTTGCCAGGTGTCGTCTTCCTCCGCGAAGATCAAGTCCTGCCAACCCCCCCGCGCCGCGTACGCGGCCCCGAAACGCAGCCCTGGAACCAAGGCGGGGACGCCAGTTTGATGGAATCGGAGTTGGCTTTAAGATGAAATTAAGTGGAATTTCCATATCGAGTCGACCTCTGAAGTCCCTGTGAAGTCCTGCATTTTCCAAAACCGACGAAAGGTGAAGATCCAAAGCACCATGATCCGGTTTGGATCACCAAGAGGCCACAGAGGCGGCGGGAGGCTGGACTTGAAGGCTCATAGCTGGAGGAACCGTGCTATGAAGACTTACCCTACATGGGAGTAGTTTAAGTTGCAGGGGAAGAAGCCCTCATTGGACAAAACATTGGGCGTCTCACTAGATATTATGTACTTCAATCATTCATGTTTGAAATGCAGCTGGCGGAACGTTCCCTGAAGCCAGTTAGCTGGAACACCCTGAAGCTGCATTCGGGATCAAAGCTGCAGCCCGCACCACACGATCTCACATCTTACATCCACCCACTTCATCCCGATGTCGGCCTTTGTCGAACGCAGACGACTTCGGCCTTCTCATCAAAGGAGGCCTTGATGACCGCGCCATGGCCATGCCAGGGCACACCTCCGAGAGAGAGAGAGAGAGCTGAAACCACTTGGATAGAGAAAGTCCTCATCTTCCAAAGCCCCTGCGGTTTTTTCCGTCCACACGTACCATAGAACTCTTGGCCCACACCTCGGAAAAACCTTGGCACCAGCCTTTCTGCCATCCTTCCTCTCCACCACACCGCTCCGCCCCCATCTCCCACCTCCGCCTTTGAGGTGCCGCCTCACGCAGAGCCAACTGGAGCCCCATTCGCCCAGCGGCATCGCCGAGCGGAACCTCGCCGTCCCGGAAACCGGACTCGCCGCGTGGGGCGGGCGGTGGCGGTGGGGCGGAGAGCGAACATGGCATTGAGTTGCGAAAGAAGAAGGGCAGAAAGAAGCGAGAGAGGATGGGAAGGGAGGACGGTGAGGTTTGATGGTCAGTTGCATTTAAAAAGAGGGTTCCGAGTTTCCGACACCTCAAGAACAGAGCACATTTACAGTGGTTTCAGAATAGATGGCACAAACCCAAAAGTGTCTTTCATACAGGCGTCCATATTTCTACCACCCACTGACTGGGGTCTGTGCTACTTTCGCCAGAGACCTTCCCTCCCAATACATCCCCAAAAGTCTTCCAATCCATGTGGAGAATCCGGGTCCAGGCCGGTGGCAAACGAGGCACTTGATCTTGTGGGCGAATAAGAGCGCTGCCTGGGCTAGCTTGGAGACGAAAAGCATCGATTCTGAGCTAACTTGGGGTCAACACACTCTTGTCGCGATATATATATATATATATCAAGAATTGGCAGTTTCTCCATCGTCCTTCTTGGAAACAACAACAAACTGAAATGGGCCGAACAGTGGAAGTGAGACCTTTCGATGGCAGTGCAATACATATCTTCCGCAAGACTGTCGGTCGGTGTGTAGCTGAAACATGTTTCAGACAGTAGCATCCGGACCAGCCACGTATCGCCGATGGGAAGAAGATGTATCACCGAACACCGGCGAAAGAATCGCCCAGCATGTCCGTTACGTGATCAACCCCTAGAAAAAAGGTCCTGACCATCCAACACTGGATCAGTTCGCTTTTTCTTCCTTCTTTCCTGTTTGGCCTCCGGACCCGGACCCTGGGACCCTAGTTTACCATGCTTGAAAGTGGATGGCACCACTAGCGCGACAGGCGGTTCAGAACGAAGCACTTGACGTCTCGAGACGCGAAGCAATGCAACGCTTCGCCAATTCGCCACACCATCCCACACCAGAACTGCCAATGATGCCAATAGGCATGGAACAAGACTGTTTGAACCTCCCCCCGGTCGACTTGGTGAAAAAAACACATGCTTTCTATATAGAAGAGGTTCTTCAATACTATCCCTATCTGACCCAACCGCTGTCTCGCAAAGCCCGAAAGCCAAGCAACCTTCACCTCAAAGCGGCCATAGGTGACACCTTCACCTACAGAAGCAGTGCGGACGGATGGGTCACCGGGGTCAAGGAAGGAAGGAAGGCCGCAGCTGCTCCACGCCATCCATCGGTGGATGGAGCAACAACAACCCACATTGGCCCAATGTTTGATCATGAGACCACCGGTCCTTGTGTGTCAGACCGCAGGAAACCGCAGGAAACTGGTCAGGTGATCCACTGCCAAGCACTTGCCAAACACGGTCGGTCTGTGCTTTGTGATGTCTTGTGATTGTTTTTCCAAAACCAGTGTGATTGTTTTCATAAATTGTGTGAAGAAGTGGCGATGAATTTAGTGGTTTCATGAAACGTTGATCGCAATTCATCCCCCCTTCTCCTTTACCCAGCGGTGGGTACTAGCCAGTTTCCATGCGGAAAAGTTGTCTAGTCTACCAGGCACTTCTTCACCTGCCGGTTGGGAAACCAAACATCTCCTTCGCCAACCAGAACCGTAACCCACTGGTTGGACCCATGTATCATATCTACTCCCTTCGGCCTGGAGCAAGCAACGGTAGGAAAGGGTTTGGCCAAGGCACTCTCCTCCCAGTCCACCCAAACGTCGGTCAAGTGCCTGGCACGCGGAGAACAGCACAACACGGTGCTGAGCACCATCTACCCGTCGGCCACGGGTGAATTTGTATATATTCTACTAAGCAAATAAGGTTGTAGTAGAGCAATTAAGGTTGCTGTTCTTTGTGAATTTGAATTTGTACAAGCAGTTATTAGGTTGTAGTTATATTTATGTATGTTGAATACCCTTGCAGAGAATACCTACACGTCAGTCGTAGTCTGCATGGTAAAACATGCTTTGCTGTAATGACAGAGAGACGGAAGTGCCTCCATGGGTCAAACGCCTCACACGCACCACGGTTCCATACGTGGTTGTGCTACCAGGTGCCACGCCCACCTCTGAGGCATCTTTTCTCTCACGCTGTTGCACACCGTTGCTACACTCTGAGCCCTGCTGGTTCCGCCATGGTCCGAGAGTTCAGGGAGCAATTCCGGCAAGCAATTCCATTGGCCCCGAATCTATTGGCCGAAGCTTTGAACAAAAATCTTGAGAATACAAAGACACATCCTCCCAGCATGTGAGCCCTTCAGAAGCCTTGCTTGGGAGCAATCCCCCTCATCGCTTTCGTGAGCGAGGCGAACAGTTCCCGGAGACCATGCAGCGTCTCAAAGGCTTGGAGACCTCCGTCAATCTTTGCAGCATTTGGGTGGAGGAATAGGCTACATCGCAAGAATTCTGACCCATTAGAAACGCCTATGGTACATTAGAAACGTGAGATCCGTGGATCTGTTCTTCGGTCTCCGATGTGTTTTAATTGCCTCGAGACAACTGGATCTCCGCTCTCGTGCTCGGGTCTTTTGTGTTTTTGGCACGAAGAATTCTGAAAGTCAGGCCATTCCAAGTCTTCATCTTGGGCAGGCCCTTCTTGTGCGCGTAGCTCTGCATGGCTTGAAACAACTCATGCCTGGAATATTGAGACCCCGTGCTCAGTATGCCTGCCGCTTTCAAGATGTTCAGCATTTGCCGATTTGCACCTTTACTCTTGCTCATCACTTGCCACTCTCCGGGAAGTGCGCTTGAAAGAAATGCACTGCGAAGCTTCCGTTGGACATCAGCACTCTTTTCTGCCTGCGCAGGCAGCATGCCCCATTTTCTCAATCTACGCTTGTTGCCAGATGTGTTCACAAAGCAAAACAATGCTTCGGTCAAGTCAGCATTGAAGTCATCATCCAGGTAGCCAAGCCTTGTCAATGCCTCTGATACCAAGTCAGGTGAATCTGAAAGCAAGAATGGGCCGCCTCCTCTAAACACTTGGCGAGCCTTTGTACACCCAAACTGTTGCTTGGACCGCTCAGTTAGAACATCGGCAAGAAGTATGCGAGCTCATCCAACTCTGAGTAGTGTTTCCAAGAGGAGGCCATGGAAGCTTGAGTAATGAAATCATAGGCTGTGCAAAGCCCCACTGAGGGAGGGAAGACAACCAGTGAACCCAGCTTGTTGACAAACCAGAATTTGACTACTCCTTAAATCACGTGCTCCTGCTGTTCTCCGTAGCCAGACTCTTGAAGAAATCGTTTGATGACCATGATGCGAGCATCATACTCATTTTGGGGTAGCACAATCCTTGGCACTGGATTCGCAGGCTCAAGCAGGACCGAGCCAGCTCCGATGTCATGAAGAATTGCCCTGACATTAAGCAATTTGTTCTCACATTTCAGCTTCACAGTGCGAGCCCCCGCAGCTTTGAATTCTCTAATTGGTGAGAACTTGTTCTCAGGGACGAAAACAACGCAATCAGTTCCTGACTTGTTAATTTCCCGGATGGGTTTGACAAAATCGGAATCTGATGTCAAGAGGGCCACTTTGTCAACTTGGGGGTTCTTGCAGAAGTTGCTCATGGCTGCGATGATAGCTTCATCGTTGGAATCCTGGTGCAAATGGTTATTCCGCTTCACTGGTCGAAAAATCACACCATGCTCACTCATGAAGTTCTGCCACTCCTTGTTGTCAGCCCTGCCCGGCGCGGCGAAAAGCCTGATGCGCAGATTTCGACCCTCACGTTTCAAGTAGTTGATGGCTTCCTGGATTTGCTCAAAGGTGTGACAATCACCATCCACCACCATTTCCGTCCTGGCAGATCGGGCGATCTGCCCTCGAAGGTCAGGTTTGACTCTTGGGGTCCGGCATCGGATCCAAAAGCCAACAGTCCAACAAGTGGCACAAAGCTTCTCCCAGCCGAAGCTACTTTTGCGGAAGTGGCTCACCGGGAGGCCCGGCTTGTGGTGCGGCAAAAGCTGAGGACGCCCAGTGAGAGACGCATGGAGAGGCAGATTCATGAGTCAAAAAAGCAGGCGGGCCACAGGAGGGAGCTGTAGAGCAAGTAAAAGAGGTGCAGCATCAGCTGAAATGCTATGTGGCTGTGGGTCCAAACCAGGGGACCTATATATATATACGTATTATGTTATTCTCAGGTATACTCACCACAAGATAAATGGATCCTTGGTTGACCTGATCAATCAAAGACTCTTTTGAGGATCAAAGATCCAGCATGATTGGAATGTCACATGACAATATTATTTTTGAACTGATGTCTGTTTGTACGTCACAACCGCTTTGCAAGCTTGAGCCAAAGCTTTTTCGTCAAGAACCTTGACCACTCCTGGTGCGGATTGTATCAATCAAGTTTTAGCAACGTCAACCTCAGACCACAAGTCTTCAAAAGTAGATGGCAACCTGAAAGCCAATCCTTGCAACGTCTTGGCTTACCAGTTTGTGTTGGCATGTCTTCAACTGATTCATCGTCCTCTCTGGCAACCCAGAGAACTCTCTCCTATCTCCAATCCAATCCAACCATCTCCAGCTGATCTTCAAAGATCCCATCACTTCACTTCGAGATCCGACCCCGTGTGACCTCGTCTTTTCTTCATTCCTCTCCCCAGACCCGACCCGACACTCCACTGCCTTCCACTCCAACCCGACCGGCCGAAGCCCCGAGGAGACGCACGCTCCTCCCCGCGCCTCCCAAGGCCTTCCTCCACCGCGCTGGCGGCGGCCTCCACCTCCACCAGGCCTCGCAGCAAAAAAATGGGCCGCCCAACACGGCCAGTAGAGAAACGAGACTTCCGGAGATGTGAGTCACAAAGGTGTCATTTGAGAATTGCAGTTCCTACAAACATGTCCTTTTTTAGTTCTTGTTCACGTGGTGTCTTGGGAGCTCTATTATGGATCCTCAACAATGAAGCTGGTGCCCAAGCATGCATTTACCACCAGCAGCAGCAAAACCAACCGTCAAGTGTTCTAACATGTCCTTCTGAAACCATGAAAAGGACCTATGGAATCGAAGAATCAAGATCACCTCACGTCGTCGATGATGACGTCCCACTCTCTGCGCCCCTGCACCCAGACGCGCCGCTCCTCGCCACGCTTCAGCATACTCCTCCGGCGTGGTGACCACGATTGGCTCCTCCCGCGTTTGGCGCAGGCAAGCAGCATAGGCCTCGGGACAGAGGCAGCTGCAGAGCTCCACCGCGTCTGGGCTCCTGAAGAAACACACCCAAAATGGCTGTGGGTCAAAAACCTGAGGACAGTTTTTCCCAACCGAAGATGAAGAGAATAGATTACCGGCCCAAGTGAACGTATACCAGAGTTTGTGAGCTCCAGGTGCCATGACCCACACCCAAAATGGGTGGCCAGGCTCGCGGTTTGGGCGGAGGTGGAGTGAGTTGGAGGCTCTTGGAACGCACGAACGTCGGGCGAACGGAGGATAGAATCGATAGATGTGAAGCCTCGGATAGAAGGCTGTGACTCGATTGGGGTCTGCACATCTTAGATACTAATCGAGTCACCAATCAAGTGCAATCTGGATCTTAGATACCAATCTTAGATACCAATCGATTGGGATCTGCAGTATCTATAAAGGTTGGGATACCTGAAGATACTGGAGACTCAACCTGTAGATCTTAGATTGCTACGTCTTCTCCTGGGCTGTCGAGTTATGTCCAAAAACCGCCTTCAACTGGAAAATCATGGAAAATCAACCTGTAAACTGTACGGGCCTCTCTGTCCAAAACCTCCCAGCTGTTTGAAGCGAACCACCGGCAACAGGAATGGCTCCTGTGAGCTGCGCAAATGCTAAAGGGCCGCGCAACATGCCTCGGATGGGCCGCGAAGATTTGCCGGTGTCCTGGACTCAACATCTGTGATGGAGAAAATCCAAGGAGAACCACGTCACCTATGGCTGCCATAACAAAAGGAAACAACAACACCTGGTGTGGAGAAGATGTGGTGAATTGATGTGAATTGTTGTTTGTGTTCTAAAAGAAAAAACTCCATGGACGCTGAAACGTACATGAAATCTGACACCCAGGTGTCGCCGCCTTCGTCCAGGGACTCATCGTGATCCCGAAAGGTTACCAAGTAGCCCGCAGTCGCCATTTTCATTCAGCCCGCGGTCGGAAGGATTGGCAATAGGGCAAAACGACTTTCAGAACGGGGTTCACTGCTCGATGGATTTACTTGGTGTTGGCTTAGAACAGGATAAAGAGGGCAGTCTTGATGACAACAAAATGTCAACACAGAGAGCGAGGGAGAGGGAGATACACAAAAAACTACAATCTTAAGTTTCTCCTTGATGGACTTCACTCACAAATAATCTTCCATGGTCTTTGCGGAACGCCCCAGGTACCTCCAAATGGTTGAAAGATTGAAGATGAAGACCGAAAAAAGAGCGCGCTCTTTCCAACTTGTTCTTGCGGATGTTCAGAATGTCAACTCACATCATCTGCGTTACCAACTTTTCAGCCTAAGCACAGCAGCTCGATCTTTGCACTGCTCCAACTCACTGGCAGCCAAGCGCCTGCCGAGCGGTTTTCACTTGATGATGCTTCTTTAGACACGACACAGGGACCCCACCCTGGCCACAATCCAAACCAAGATTGGTCAAAGGATATCAAACAGGATGTTCTAGGTGAAACAGTGACCGTGTTCTTGTGCTTCTGACTCATGTGAAAAAAAGGAAAAGACAACAAATGAACCGGACCATCAATCCTATCCCACTATCCCACTTCATCTGTCCTTTTCAATTGGGTCGTCTGGGCCGCCTTTTGCCACTTCGACTTCCAATGTCAGGATGCCAGTACGCAACGTCAAGGTCGGTGATGATGGATTGCGTGATGCAGCAAGGACGCTACGCCTCATCTGCTGTTGCCATTCTGGGGCAAGTTTCGTCAGCTGTTGCTTGTAGGGTCTCTGAGTATGCTTGGTGATTGATGATCAAAGAAAACTCCTCTAATCGTCCCGAAAGTTCAGTATGGTTCTGATATGTTCTGATTCCATCAGTTTCAATGTTTCCCTGGAACATAATGGTTAACCCTTATCTACCTGAATTTGAGTGGGAGAAACCGGGAAACCTTTTCTGCCTGAATTTGAGTGGGGAAAGCGGGAAACCAATCCCCCAAAAAGACTGAAGGTTATCCACTAGTCCTGGAGTCTAGAGGCTCAGTCTTTAAGAAACTCGACCACACACTGGAGCCGGCTTTTTTCATGCTTTTTCAAGGTCCTTACAACGTCCCATTCCATGCATGCGGTTGGAAGCACCCGGGAATGAACATGTATGCAAATCTGTGGCCAATGGCTTCTCTATTCAAAAAGAAAAAACATGAAAAAACTCCGACTTGGTCTTGCTGAAGCCACTGATGCCTGCGGATCCACTGCGTGGCTCAAGTTCTGTTCTGTTTTGCAGAAAGTAAAACAAGGGACCCGAAGAAATCTGCCGTGCGGTTGCAGTATCAGCCCTCCTCACCATGATGAACCAGCTCCTCTTCCTCCTCCTCCGCCTCCGCCTCCGCCAGCAGCAGCAGCAGCGGCGTCATCATCATCATCATCATCATCATCATCTGCTTGTCTAACAGCTGCTCCCTCAAGCAGTCCCCAGTGACTGACCGTCTCATTCGTCCCCGCCATGGTGCCATGTGTTTCGGTCGCCCACTGCCCAGTCACTGACCTGATCATGAAAAAACGCGATGCAGAGAGGGCACTGAGAATTGAACAAGGGCAGGCACTGAACAAGGGCAGGCACAAAAGCATCGAAAGAACCAAACATTTGGAACTGGATGCTCAGGGGTCTTTCGAGCTATGTTCCACTCTCCTCTCAAATCCAGCAGTTCCTCAAACAGTCTAACATGCTGGGCGGAACACAACAGGGGAGAACACGAGGGGCTGGCGTCCATTTTCGCTCTGCTGACAATTACATGGTACCTCAGGAGGAATGACCATTACCACCCACTCTCCGCCCCACAACTCTGGTTTTCAAACCCTACTTTCCACCCCATGGTTCATCTCCAAAAAGTCACGGTGGACACTACGGTGGACGTCCGCCCCGAAATCGCCGATCCGATCCGCCCCGAAATCGCAGTTCGGTCGAGTCGCTTGGCTCTTCGCCGAGCACAGGTGGACCTTCCAGTGGAGCACCGCCGCCGCCTGCGATCGCCAACGCGCAACGCGCCGGGTCGCAGCACTGGCGGACCGAGCGCGTGGCGCGTGGCGCGGTGTGGGAAGGGAGGACCGATGAAGGGAGGGCTCGCCGATATCGAGGACTCCCCGTTCAGATGTTTCGGATCACATGGTTCCATGAGGCCAGCCAGGTCAAGCATGGTTGAAGGTGGTTGAAAGGAGAGTAGATGGCACAAATGTCCAATGTCGGTGATGCAATTATGGACCCCCTTCTCAAAGACATCCTGGGCATCAAACCCAGCGAAGGAGAGTATCTTCTTCAAAGAGCCTCGCGATAGACATCACCTCATAAACGATCTTCGCAGTAGACCCAATCGCATCTTTGAAGCACCATCATCCCACAGTTTCATCCTGTGAACCAAGTCCTTGAAGTTCTATGTCACTCAAAACGCTGGGTGGGCGCCACGCAACGCTGTCATGAGTCTCGCGAAAAGTGGAGGCTAGTCTGGTTTGTCCAGAAGGTTTCCACCAGGACAGATCTTCACATCAAGTCAAATATGCTGACCTGGCATCAAACATGCGTCCGGGTGGGGGGAAGCAAACGTCGTCCATCGGGTGGCGTCCACATACGTCTACGTCGACAGCTGTTCTCGCTTCTTGGGGTCCAGTGAAGAGGAAAAACGGCTTCGATCGCATTGGGGGAGCTGAGTATCTAACGGCTTAGAGTGAAGCTTCAGTAGGTCATCCTCATCTCCCGTTCGCCTTCAAGACCATGAAAAGAGTTGTTTTTTTGTAGGAAAATCAATGAAAATCATGTGTAAAACACTTCTTACTTCGAGATTCAGGCCATGAAATCAATGGGGCCAATCCTAAAAACTCTGAAAGCGGGGTCAAACATGCGTCAACGTTCCACGTCACGGACCTCACCGAGCTGCGGTGGCTGTGCCAAGGCCAAGACGTTCCATGCGATGGCTTTGGAGCCCTGCAACTGCAAGGCATCCTGACGGAGTTCGCTACTCCCACCCCCGCAGTTCGCCACGCCACGCGTCGGCGACTAAAAAGCCTGGACCGGTGTGACAGGAGTGACTTCATGGTGGTTGGCTTAATGTTGCGCATTCGATGTGAATCGGCCTGTATGGATGTTCTGAATCGAGCTCTTGCAAAATCGGGGGACCCTGGTTGACGCCCCGAGAAATGGTCAACTTACCTCCTAGGTTGCTTGGTAGCACCAAGCAACGTATTTATTCGGCAGGTGACGCTTGGCAGAACCCATGATCTTCACGAGCCCGAAGCAGAACAAGACGTTGAACACCTTAAGACTGTCGACGCACGACGCACGACGTCTGTCACAAGCAGAACATCTGCGTCTTCGACTCGTTTCTTCGTGATCTGGCCAACCTCTTCGGACTGACGTGCCGACCAAGGAGCGAAGCCCCGCTTTCTGATCACGGCGTGCTTTGTCCGAAGAAGTTGTTTCGCCGGGACCGGTGAAACGGCAGCTGTACGTGTACTGTGGTTACTGTAGAATAGTCTATACAAAGAAGTTATGAGAGATGATCCAAAAGAACATATGGCGCTTTGTTTTACAAGGTGATCCACCGACCTTCCACCGACTTCCACCGTTTTCGAATCGGTCGGTCGTACCGGTCGTCACGCCTCGCGGAAGCCCCAGACGACCTGGACGGCCGAACGAGAGCGAGGAGAGCCAGAGCGCGAGGCAGTTGCTTTCTCGATGCGTCTACAAAATTCCATGTTGGGAAGGAAGAAAAAATGGTCCAAATGAAGGAGGAAAAGATCTACAGAAAACGAGAGAGCAAAGAGGAAGGAAACCTCATTCAACTCCTCCATCACAGCGATCTGTTGATCTTAATCTGAAATATATTCTCACGGCGACATTATAATCATGTCTTGGCTCCGGTTTCTTTTGCTATTTAAACAGCACAGCCCCTTTTTTGGAGTCTCGATGCAACTCTTCTGCTGAACGACTCTTCCATCATCTGCTCCAGGAACTGAAAAAAACACAGGGTGAACCGATGTCCCAGTGTGAAGAACACTATGAGGGACACCCTGTGAGTATGGAACCCTAGTGAACCGATGTCCTTTGCAAAGGAATTCACCTAGGAACCGGGACAAATCCAACTCCACCGCTTCCTCCCAACCGCCCTGCGCCGCCCAAGAAGCCGCCCTGCGCCGCTCGGAGGTTCTCCCCCAGACGCCCCCTGGGGTCCCCCGACCACCGATGTCGGTGTGTCCGGGGTGGAGGACTGGCCTGGTGGCATGAGGCAAAGCATCCCCGTGCTGTCTTTCAAAAAGAAATATATAAAAACACATAAGAACCCTGAAAGAACGGCCTCCCAAAAGATGGTTTTAGTCTATTTAAAAACGGCCAACGGCAAGAGCCGGCTCCTCAGTGTCCATGTTCGTCTGAAAGCGGGGAGTTTAGAACCACATCCTTGATCCCATGCCACATGGGGCAAACAAAAACTGTGGCAGCCGGTGACGCAGCCAATGGTGACGCCATTGGATCGATCCGGTTCAACGCCACGTATGTTCTGTCGTGTCGCCGGTACCGGCTGCTGGTGTCGAACGGACGCTCGCACTCGACGTGTTTTCTTTCACTCTTGTGCTGGCGTGAAGGCGTGAAGACTCATCTAGTCCGAACTTGTTGTCAGGTACTCCAGCAAAGGCGGGAATTCCCTGAGACAGGTCTAAAACTTTGGGGGTGCATTCATTTCACGCTCCCAACTGAGGGAATGCTTGTTGGAAAGGTTTACGAGCTGCGTTGGTTTGGGGACGTGTTCGGGTTGCGGACAACCTGCCTCCGTAAGCTCCTTTCTGCATCTCATGACCTTTCGTGTGCGATGCTGAATCATCAAAACAAGCGGATGACGGTCAATTTTGCCTAGGCCTTTGCTGAGTATCCGCCTTGCAGGCCAAATAAGCCATCAACTCGGTGGTGCTTCCTCTGTGCTGACGACTGATTCACAGATCAAGGCTGCCACATGCGGCAAAGCACATGAAAAGAAGCCTGCCTCCGCTGCCACGGCAGCTATCACAGCAGCTGTAGCGGCAACATGGGTTGCAGCATGGTCAAACTCTAAGAAAGTATGATGGCATGGGCCGCATGGGCCTTTGAACTACGTTGAATTGAAGCTCTCTATGCTGGGGACCAGTCCCCCAGGCAAGTGAGCGGGACTGTCTTACATCTGTGAATGCGATCAATGATCATCACTGATGTTTATGTGATATAGTTGGTAACATCATCAGAACAAAGAGAAACAACAAACCCATCAAACAGGTCTTTTTTACGCTTACTCCGTGTTTGATGCGCATCAACGCGAACCTCCGTTGACACAGGCCGACAGTGATTTTTTCGGTCTTTCGCCCTGCTAAGACCGGTCCGGCGATGTCATGCGTGGGTCCAGCTCACCGGGCATGACAAACGCGAAAGGAAACATCCAGTGAACAGCTGGGCTACCATGATCAAAACCATCCATCAACCGATCATATATATATATATATAATACCACCATGAACGTGAACAGCTGCAGCCATAGGGGTCTCAGCTGGGCTACCATGAACCGCTTCTGAGACTGCACTGTGCTGATAGATTTGCTTCTTTTTTTTTTCGCAGTTGGATGTCATGATGTGATGGCTCAAATCCCCAAGAATCACACGAAGACCAAATCTATACAGACAACCACCGGCGAATATCGTGTTCCATCATCAGCGTCAAGTCCCAGTTCGAAGCCCGGGCAACTTCAACGATTTGATGGACCTGGACGAAGAAGAACTTTAAGCAACCTAGTAGCGATGGCCTCCAACCTACTAGCGATGGCCTCCAACGACCTGGCGAAACAATCACTTTCTCCTGAGAAATCATGAAATCCTTTCCTGTCTCGATGTCGATGTGAAATGTATTTGAGATGATCAAAGAACCTCCGGGTGTTCTGTAGAAAGGCAACAACACTCTCATTCAACCAAATCCACGAATAGACTAAGACGTCAAAGAACTCACACCTCACATGCATTCACACGCACCACCCAGCAGCTTGCATGCCCCACACGCAAACCAATAAACCCCCCCCAGAAAAAAAACACCAAAAAAAAAACGCCACGAATCCATCGACGTTCGAATCCATCGGCCACGGGTACTTCTTCTCGGGCCCCCACTGCATCTTGTGGAATCGACTCGCTGAGCACCACACGCTCGGTGAGGCTCGCCCTGAGACCGCGTCGATGGGCTTACATCGAAAGCCGAAAGAGCTTCGGAGGGAGCGGTTTTGAGGTCTTTTGAAGGAGGGAGCTGATGAGAGGTGTTTTGGGTCGTTTGAGGTGTATAGTCTTTTGAGGAGTAGTTGAGGCGTAGTCTTTTGAGGAGGGGATCATCTCTTGAACTCGCATACCCACACTAAAGAATCATGTCTCGAACTAGGTGGTGAGGTGGATGTTTATCTCTCTTGCGGCGTGGCAGCCGGTTTCATGTTGGGGAGCCCCAAACAAATCCTCTTTCTTGGTCTCGGCGGTTTTGTCGCGAGGTGACGCCCAAATTCTGGACCCTCGCAAAAAGCTGGCGAGGGTCAAAAAGTGATACATCAATATACATCATACCGCATGAGACCCATGATCCGCACTCGATGAGACAAGTACATCATGATACATGATACCATGATATCCGGATTCGCCTGAGACCCATGAAACACAAGGAGTCCGAATTCCGCAACCGGCCTTTCGGTCCGCCAACTCCGGTCCGCCCCACCCGCGTTCGCCTCCGGAGCGAGCGCTACGGAGGGACCTGACACGAGCGGAGTTCGGAGGTCGAGTTCGGTCGCGAGGTCGTTCGAGGGAGGAAAAGAGGTGGAAGATGGAAGGAATGAGTTGAGTTGTGGAGTCCCAAACACTCCAAGTATCGCATGTGTGTTCAGGTGATTTGGGATGATGATGATGATGATGATGATAGGGGCCATGAGCTTTCAAGAGTGCGGTTCCCCCAAGCAAGCATGGACACCGTCGCCTTCTTGACGGACCTGATCTCGCTGCCCTCGCTCTTGCACTACTGGTTCTCTGAGCCCTTTGTTCTTGTGACCTTGGGCACCTTCTTTCTCCGCTTTGAGTACTACCAGCCTAGCTCTACTCCTCTGAGGCATCGATCATGGTCTCCAAGCTGGTCCTCCCAAGGTCTCAGCAAAAGCTTGCTAGCTCACCGGGGTCCCAAGTCCCCGGCCAGGGAGAGATTATCACCACTTGTGCTCCTCTTTGAAGCTAAGGTTCTCTACATTATGGCTTTCGAGAGCACGCTCCACCTACATGCAACTCCCTGGTGGCCCGAGGGTTCTGATGCCGCCACGGGTATCAGTGAAGCCCACAAAATAACACCGAAGCCCTTATTTCATTGGGCAAAGCACAGTGGCCTTGGACCCCAACATGACCGCCATGATGTACAACCATTTTCCAAGAAGAAATCCTCTCTTAGTGCTCACATGAGGGCTCAACTGCATGGCATGACCTGGAACACGGGTAAGCTGTTCGCCTACATTCACAGCGGCTCCAATGGCTGGGCCGGTGGAGTTCTCACAATTGTGAGACGCTACTTCAGTCCTCAGGAGCGGATCAGCTGGAGAGCAGTGAAGAAGGGTTGCATCTTACATGTTAGACTCTACATGTCCTGCACTTCCAAACAGGATGGCATTGTGAAGGTCGTTGACCAAAATGACCACAGCTGCCCATTGCACCTTAACGTGTGCTCGCAAAGTGGCATCAGGAAACAAGCTGGATCCGCAGACTTGCACGCAACTCTCCTGAGTTGGAGCGAGGCCAGTTTCGGCCTTCATGCTATGGTCAGTTCTGCAGACCCCTCTTGCATCCAGTTGGACTGCTTTAGCTCTTTTGGTCAGAATGGTCGCACCCGTGTTCTCTGGAGCTCTAAGGTTTGGATGCCCTTCTTCATTGGACCCAACCTGGACCTGGACAACATACCGTATGAGGTCTGTGCCTTGGCTTTTTACTTAGGTTCTGACTATCAATTGGGTCACAATGTTTCTGTGTTTTTGCACGGTGGCAATTGGTGGGCAAACTACGTCTCCGACGACCCCAAGCCCTTCAAGGTGCTGCCTCCAGTGCTTCTGGAGAACGGTTGCATGCCGTGGCTTAAATGCTTGCCCCATGGAGGTGCGGAACTTGCGACACCTCCGGCTGATGAGGCTCTGATTCTCATCACGGGACAGCAGATCCAGAACGTTACGACTGACCAACATGTCGGTGACCCCTGGTTCTCAGAATGGCTGCAGGCACAGGATCGCTTGGACACCAAGTTTCCGATTGACCACCCAGAACCCTGCCATCGGCTGGTCAAGATTTGTTTTCTTTGCCAGACTTGGCCGGCGAATCTGAACGATCACATGGCCTCTCTCCACATGGACCTGCGGTCACAGGAGGAACCCCAGGAGGAGATCTGTGCTGAGCGCTTCCTTGCAGCTGAGCCGGCCACGAGATGGTACGCCTGCCAACCCTACCAGAGGTCGGCGGAAGATGAGCGGGAAATTCATTCCTGCGCCTGTCTTAGGCAGTTTTCTGCCTTCATTAGATTTTGAGGTCCATGTAGCAACATCAAGCCCAGTCGACGACACTGGCAACGCTGCTGGACACTCGTTTGGTTGAAGGTCCTCCGGGACTGGCGGACCGGCTGAAAGATGCCAAGGGTCCACGCAATCACCGCACGGTGAGCGTTGAGAAAGAAAGAATGATGATGATGATGATGATGATGATGATGATGACTTGAGCGCTTTTGGCTTGGGTGTGGGACCTCAGACCATGCGGCAATTGGAAAACTACAATTCACTGGGTAGACCTGCTGGATCAGGACAGAAGTGCTTACCTCGCCTGCGGAGGTCCCTCACAAAACAGCTGGCTCTCTTGGGAAGAAATAGAAAAACTCTGGGCATTCACCCAGTTCTACCGGAAACATATGATAAATGATGATAAATGCACCCAAAAACCGGGCATCAAAACCATGCGGTGCGGGCCCTGTCCACGGAGCAATTCTACCTGGTCTGGAGCGACATGACAGAATCAAAGAGCCTTCACACTTGTTGGGTTCTCCAGGTGTCACACTCCTTGGGTTCTTCATCATGGCTACATGGATGGAAAACCACCTGTTTGGTTATTTATGGGTATTTGGGTTCTCACTGTCCTCCGAATTTTCGGGGCTGCCATCCACGTCCAAGGCGTTGGCCCATGATGATTTTTGCGGGAGTGTATCAGACTGGTATGAGTTTTGTAAGGGCTGAAGCAAGCAAGCCAACCAGCCAGCAAGCAACATACCTATTTTCAATCAATATTGCAAGCTTGCTGTGCCTCGTCCTCGCCCTCGTGGCCCTCGCCCTCCAGTCCTCCAGCACGCCTCATGTTCATACCATGGTGGAGGCACTACACAGCAAGCTGCATGCTGTGTTCGGCTGTCTTCCGCCGAGAATGAGAGCCGGTCGGCCGCCCAAAGCCGGTCTGGTCTCACAAGCGAGACCGGTGAGTGTTCGGTGGCCGCCCAGCAGGGCTTATCCCTTGGCAGATGGTTTTTGGGTCCTTTTTCTGTTTTTGAGTCGAGTAGGATGCTGCTACATAAGCTTTCTGACCTGGAGCCACCCAAAACATCGCAGCACACCATGATAATGCAGGACTGTCAAAGGACTGGCATGTTTACCTACACTGAGGTGGTTTGAGGGGTAGGTCAAGCATCCGCACATCGAGTGCTTGGGGGAGATTCAGATTCAAACCAGATTCCAAACAACTTATACAAGTCAGAAGCCCATGAAAATGGATCCGGCAAAACAATCTTGCTTTGGATGTTGACATGTCAAATGTATTCAAATGTTGTTTTGTGGCACATTCTTCCAATCCGATTCCGATCTAATTATTAACCCTAGACGTTTGCTCCATGTTAGATACAAACCAGAACTCCCAGAAGAGCAGTCATCACCATACTGGACCTTGCCCTCTGTTGAGAGGTGAAGAAGAAGAAGGAGGAGGAGGAGGATACTTTAAGGAACCTGATTGTGATGACCTCCAACGCAAGAGCGATGGCCTCCAAGCTACTAGCGATGGCCTCCAACCTAGAAGAAGAAAAAGAAGAAGACTTTAAGCGACCTACTGGGGATGGCCTCCAAGCTACTAGCGATGGCCTCCAACCTAGAAGAAGAAGAAAGAAGAAGAAGAAGAAGA